ATGAGGTGGAGCCCCTCTGTTTGGTTGCAACATGCTGATGTAATTTTTTTCAGGATCTCACTGTTTTCGTTTTATGTAACAAGGCTAAAAAATTTGGACTTATGTCTCTACTTAAGTAACATTTAGATATCTGACAATGGCCGCTTTAGGTGAGCTTGATGCTTCAATTAATCAACAATTTTATGGTTTCATAATTTTATTTTAAACAAGCAACTCTGTTGTGTGCTGTGCCAGTTTTACCATTACCGGCTAAAAGGCGTCACAACCTAAAAATGTGGCCTTGATAGAATCAAGCAGCCTCTGCCTATTGGTGGGAAAGTGCTGATTAATTGTGTCGTAGACCTGTGAGAAAGTACGCCCTGCGCAAAGCACTAATTATGGGCCCTGCCTGGCCGAGAGAAAAGGGGACAAAACTCTCAACAAAGGCTCATCTCATATCTCAAGACAATGAGGGGCCAAAAGAATTGTAGAAAGGAGAAGTTAATGAGCTGTGTCACCTGGCATCTGTTGATGCTGGGACCAGGACCGGCGTGTGGGTGTTTGTGAAAGAGACAAGCTTTTTGTCTTTCTTTGTGTAGATTTATGTTATTTTCCTTTCTGCAATATTTCCAGCAGAGTAATAAAATAACTGCTCATATTACTGAAGAATAAATAGAAGAAAAAAAAAACTCTCTCTGTGAAACTCTGACTTCTAAATACTTCTGATGCTTAAAATATCACATGCTGTCCTACTTATTTAAAAGTTGAAACAAGGGCAAAAGAACAGGTTCCAAATTTGTTTTTGAGAAATATTGAAAATTGAACTTCCCAGAGATGAACAATATTTGCAGCTCTAGTTGCACTGGATTGTACTGCTGATTCTAAATAGTACTGATTAAGGGGAACAATACAAATATAGCATATTTTACTTTTCATATTGTTTAACAAATATGTATGAGCCTCTATTGCTGTCTTATAAAATCCCCTTAGAATAAAATACAGTTCATTGAAATGTAACATAACGTTGAAGAAGATACATGTATGATTTGTCTGCCATCTAATATGCCAGAAATATGTAATAATGCTGTATATAATATATATATATATATATATATATATATATATATATATATATATATATATATATATATATATATATATATATATACCAGTATATCTTTTTTCAGCATTCATGATGATTTAAGACATACAAGGGAACAAAGTTTTGTTTTTCCTTCTCCACTCTTTTACTTTGCTTGTTGTTAAAGTGAAACACTGTCTGACTTTGCAGAAACTCTATGTACAGTAAGCGCATTTGTAATCCTGGAAAAACATAACATTCAAAGCTACTTTGAGCATCACAGAGTAGTTCCTCGGTTGAATTCCGTCATAAAAGGCAACCAGTCGGCTGTGGTCGGCATTTCAGTGTAAGCTAGATGGGTGGTAGCAAAGTACGGGTGTTTGGACAGTAAATGACGTGACCTGAAACTACATTTAGTTAGCATGAGGTGTCGGGTAGCTTGAACTTTGTTTTGTTTGGCTTCATATTTTTGTTTTTTACAGACTTGGAGAAGAGATTTCAGTAACATCCACAGAGACAAAGCATGATTTATGTCTCAAAGAAGGTATATTTCTGTTGACAGGGCTAATTGTTAAGTGTGTGGTTGCTGAGCTCCAGGCCAAAGAAACCACTTTGTTGTTGCACTAAAATTTGTATAACTTATTCAGAACCACAAAGTTTTTTTCTCTACATATTGACACAACTTTGGTCATACTGTACCCATTGTGCAAAGTTTTAGCCGACAGAGATCTTTCTAATAAGAGAATAAAGCCTACTTGGAAGGCAGGACTGCTTTTAAAGATTCTACCTCCTTTCAGAGGGAGGCTCGGCTTTGCAAAAAGGGAATTCTATGTTTCATTTGGAAGTTATTGGTCCACTTCCAAGACCGTCCAGCCTTCAGTGATCAAAGGTTGAGTCGGAGAAAAGCCTAGCAGGAGGCTTATGCAAAAATGTCATCTCCTTATTGCAAATGGGCTGTCATGTTTTTAACCATCAGCACTCGTTTAAATGTCAGATGCAGTGAGGTTGTGCTTGGCCAAGTTTGAAGAATGCAGTGTGGGGGGGTGGGGGGATGAAAAGCTGCATTCTCACATTTAAACACAATATAATGTTGGATTGATTAGACTTAAAATTCAGACATTTGAAACAAAGGACATCAGGAATCTATTATAATGGAATAAAAAATATAAATCTATAATTAAGATGGTGATAGGATAGGTTTTTATTTATATAAGAGCCAGAGGGGCAATGGCAGTTATTTCCCACAGGTCTTACAGGCATATAGATATATTTTTAGATTTGAACTTAATAGTAAAGAACATACTTAATATGTCACAATAATTTATTTGTTACCATAATTTCTTTTCTGTATTCCTTTTGTCCTTTTAAAGCCCCATCTTTAGCAACACTGTCAAATGATGCCAATATATTTAGGATTAAAACATCAAACTAGGTTCTTTAGGAGGATGAAAAAGCATGTTTTATCTAATCAGGTACACAAGCATGTGAAAAGGAGATTTTACAGATTAGTTGGTTCAAAATATTCTAAAGCAGATCAGTGTTTTTTACATAGATATGTAACCTTCCCTCAATCAAAACACCTGTAGTGTTGCCTTGGTTTTCAGGGTCTGTATTCAAACTGAACCTCATGAGTGCCTTCCAAAATGGCAACTTGTTACAAAACTGTATGAAAATGCCCCTGCTAGTTTTTTATTTGAATTTCTTCTCATGCAAGGTTAGAAAATGAACAAATGACATCAAGTGAAGTTTAGAATACAAGAAACATTCTTCAAAATCCCCCAGCCCTCTTACAGCAAACCCCTGAAGACAAAGAGTCTTCAGTGCGGATCCATTACGTTAATGGTGCATCACCGGGTCACACGTCGAGCACTCTGTTTCCACCTTTGAAAGCAGGTCAGACATTTGAAATCCCATGACAGAATGGGGAATCTCTGGATCTGCTGGAGGTGACTACCAGAGTGGAGTGAAGGAGGGGGGCCCTGATAAGATCGCAAGGAATTTAAACACAAGTATTTTTCCCCCTTCAAAGCCTCCATCTTTCAGTCTGACAGTAACTGTAAACATCATTCCTGCACACAGGATTATGAGATGTGCTATTCTGCTTTCATTTAGCACTTTAAAAACATGGAAAAATCTCCACTATAGTGTCAGTTTATAGAGTTAGAGGACATAGCATGTAGATCAAAGTCATATTCTAGCTGCTACTGGCTTCAAGATCTTAACAGGGAAAAATATATTTATCACTTTGCTTTTTTTTGCTGCCATTCACTACTTTTAATCACAGCTATGCACAAAAATACTACTTTATAATCCAATGATGGCTTTTGCAGAGATAACTGTATCAGTGCTGCAGGAGAAGGACCAGATTTGCTTTCATAGTGATATAAAAATCCTTCAGAGATGTTGCAATAGGTCTTTTTAAAGCGATGACCTTAAAAGTATTCCTCACACTCCTGAGTTTGTATATAAAAATGCATACCTTGGCAGTATGTGGAGAAGGGAATGTACGCTATGTTGAACCAACTACCTGAAGCATTCATCTTTCAAAGACTGTCATATTCGGCAGGCAAATTTTCAAAACCCAGACACAAAAAAATGTTTCTATAATAAACACAAACTTTTTTAAATATAGTCCTCATTTTATTAAAAGAGGCCAAATAAAACTCACATTTTATTTACAAAGGGAGACAATAAATATCTTAATAATAGTCATAAAATTATTTTTTGCTTAGATTTGTTTAAAAAAAAAAACATAAACGTGTCATGTTGTTAGTAGTAGGTCATACAAAAAGACCCTCCATGAGACTGGTAGATACAAACTACTGGTGGAAAAAAAAACCTGGAGTTTATTGTTATTGAGTGAAGTTTTCCCTTTTTAAGATTCAGACATGAAATCCGGTTAAAAGGATTTCCTGAATCCTGTCATCTGAATATTAGCAAAAGTAGTTTCAATCATCTGATGAAGTTGTATGAAAAAGTGTTGGAGAATAACACACAGATACCTGTCTGTGGATGATCGATGTGCTTTTTTCTTTCTGAAAGCATCTTCAAGTGAAAAAAAAAACAAGAGCTGGCTTTAGGGTCAAAGTTGAGATTAACTGAACACAGACAGTCAGACTAGGTACAGATAAACAAAAGAGGTAGAGGAACTCATCATGAGCCCCAAAAGGCTGGCAAACTCTCAGGTTAGGAATAAAAGGCATCTACATTTGAAGCAGTTTTAACACATGTGACAAAGAGCTGAAAGAAACAGACAAAAGGGATTAACAACCATCCCCAAGTGTGTTGAAGCTGGAAGACAGTGTGGAATTACGCTGTTGTCTGTTTGGACTGTTTCCTTCCAGTGTTTAAACAAGGCTAAAAATCACAACAGGTGTCGAACTCGTCAAAGCACGTTGCGTTTCGGCCCGGATCGCAGGCTGCATGGAAATGTCATGAAGATCTCACCAGGGACTGCGAGGTCTCAGCGCATTCCAGGAGCCGCAAGCGACTTGTAGGGATGAAAGGCACACGGAAAGAAAGTAAAGGACAAGAGACTTGTAAAATATTGCACTCAAAGCTACACAGTTATCCCGGCAGCATGGTGTCACCTGCCGCCTCTCTCCGTTTCATCTCCATGGTGTCTAATTCCAGTGGAAAGTATTGGATCCGCGTTGTCAGGGGCAACACAAACAAAAACCGACAGGTATTCCAATAAATCTCTAGTTGGCTGATTTTTATAACATTGCGTCAGCTCCTGCTTCAGCTCCCATTGTCAAAAAGAAAGTATGCCTTCAGCTTGCAGTTCAAACGTGGCTGAGGACAGCAGCGAAACGAGTTCTCTCAGAGGTCCTTGAGTTTATCCAGTATAAATAACATGACAGAAAATTTAGCACAATGACATCAACCCAGGAGAATCCAAGAGTCAGGAAATATCATCCTGAAATACAAAAATATAACATCTTTGACTCTTTTGTTCGTTTTTTCTTTTCTTTCTTTTACAGAAGTTGGGTCTTTAAGGTGATTCTTTTAAGAAGCTTGAGATTTTCAGTTTGTTTTTCCCCCCCTTGTGAGGATATCTAGTGCTGTCCCAACGGTCCCATCAGTTCCTCTTGGAGTTTTGTTTTAACCGCCGAGCCCTTCGTGTCCGCTTAGTTACTGGGGTGAAACGGAACTCCTCTAGCGGGTCCACTCGACCCTTCGGATGGCGCTTCATGAAGTGGACTTCTTGTTGCCTCTGTGTGGTGCGGAACCCTTTCTTGGGCCGTCCCTTTCGGTTGAAGCCGAGGTACCATCCTTTGTACTTAGCAGACACCAGGGCTGTGTAGTTGTTCTCCAGGAATTCTTCCACAAAGACGCAGTCTTCCCTCCTTCCATCGGGCTGGAGAGTAGGAAGAAAATAGACAATATTAGAAACAAAGCAGCACAAATATTGGATTCCCTAAAGTCTGTTACTTTCATGCAGGATGATGACTAAGAGTTATTTAGAGGAAAGGGTTAGGAAATCTCATGAAATTTAGGGGAGTGGTGGCCTAGTGGTTAGAGCATTGCAGTTGGTTCCCCAGACTGCTCCCCGGGCACCGTACAGTGGCAGCTCACTGCTCCCCAAGGGGATGGGTTAAATGCAGAGTGTGAATTTTCCCCATTGTGGGACAATAACAAGGATTTACATTTGATTATATAAAATATGGATTTATGATGACAGTTTTTTTATATATCTAATTAGTCTCTATTCACTTTTCGGATCTACATTGAACTCCTTATGTTAGAAATATGCTTTTGCTAAAGATTTGAAGTAAATACAATCTTGGATAACAGGGAAATAGCACCCCAAAACAAGATATAAAGGACATTTTATTCCCATGAAAGGAGCGAACAGCCAATGCAATAAGGTGTTCAGAGGTGTTATGTATGGGAATAAATGAAATTAGGCAAGAAAAAATTATGTTTTTTGTGCATGTTTAGCCACCCTAGTCAGCCTCAGTAGTAACGTGTTTCTTCCTTGTGATTACACCAAATAAAGGTGTCCACACCTATAATCTCTTTGTATACCAGTAGTTAAAGTTATAGTGTTAGCTTTAAGGGACTTTTTAGGGCCAAACATGTTGTTGTAAGGAGACTATTGGAGACAGAGTCCTGAAGTGGTGTGACATGATTCCGTACCTCAGAGGGTAAAGACAATAATTATGTGCAGAAACGTGGGACTTGCACAACCACTCCATGGTTTCCTAAGGTATTCTGGTCACACAGTTGCTCGGGATTCATATCAATACTGGTCTGAACTGGAGCAGGACATCTGTATTCACACATTTCACCAGACATTTGGCCTGCAAATTGTCCCTAATTGAGTCTTTTAATCTTGATTCAAATTAAGCAAACATTAATAGTTTCTGTAACTTTAAGAATAAATAGGATATTTTTAACATAGCTGTAGTTGTACCCTTAAAACAATTAGAGAAAAAACTTAAACTCAACGTTAAATAGAATGGAAATAGAAAAAAGCTCAAGAAAATTAAAGGGAATAACTGTAAAAAAAATAAGTCTGATACTGTTCAAGTATTTCCAATGATGCAGCAATCAAGAATATTGGTGACTGAAAACTTTTCCAAGGGAGGATCTCATACATTTTTATGTTTGACTTTAAATTACATCTTTACATGGCAGAGTTCAGCTTTATTACTAAACTAACATAAGTGGCTGAAAGGAGCTAAATGTTAAGATTAAATGTCAAAACTCATCTTTGCAGGTATGATTTTAATTTGCCTCTTAACCATATTATGATTCGAATTTATTCATGTCTGTTAAACAAAAGTATACCTCCATTAAGCAATACTTTATTTAAAGTGGGTATAACTAAAAAAGCCAGATGACACCTACAAAAAATGTATTAGACCTTAAATAAAAAAATGTAAATGAGTTTTCACTATAAAAACAGAACCAAATCTGGCTTAACAACAGTTACCAACTGCTTTCTGACAAGCAGTTTTACAGCTCTAGAAACTCATCAAAGTGGCCTACAGGAATTATACAGAACAACAGTCAAAAAAGTCATCATGTACTGAGGCCTGAGTAAACCAAAGATTTTAAGGTCAAGTTTAGGGTGTGCACGTCCGAAGAGAATTGTTGTTTCATTTTCAAACTATAAAAAACAGCTTCAACATATTCCATTAACGTTCCAAATATTGAGCAGCTGTTAAAGCAGTCTATCTTCTCCTCAGAAATGTCTCAAATCACATTTCAAACATTGGGAGGCAGATTCATCTTTAAATCAGCACATTCACAACAACACTTATCGATGACTGAAAGAAGTAGACTGAGGTCATATTTTCAGAATATGTAAAGATTTTTTAAATGGGTTAAAAAGCACAAAAGCTATAAAATAAAAATAAAAAGTAAAAAAAATATAATGTTTACATCTAGAAAATATATTTAGGCCCCGTCCACACGAAGTCAAAACGAACACGAAACGCTAATATTTTCCAGAACGTTTGTCGTAAAGACGGAGACGTAAAATAAATGTGATCGTCCACACGAATGCATAAAAACGCTGCAAAATGTATGCCAGGCCTGTAAGTGGTGCTGTCGTGCCAAAGCAAAAATAGGCGACGAAATGTTGGGCATGCGCACTAATATTTATACATGGTTGCCCTGCGGGTCCATTTTCGTGGTTCAGTCAAATTCAGGTGCTGAACTATGTCGTCGATATTGCTCTGTTCTTCCTGGAGATATTCCAGAAGAAGAAGATTCTGTTGTAAGCCCGACAGCAGGGTGAGTAGCATTAGCAGCAACCATTCAACACAGTACGGCGCCATTGTTGTTGTGATACTGTGTCGCGCATGCGTGTTTAGAGGCGACGCTATGACGCATGCGTGTAAAAAAAAAAAATGCGGTTAGAGCTTAAAGATGGAAACGCGAAAACGGCGTTTCAAAATCTTCCCACTCTGAAGGCGGAATAAAAAAAAGATTGTTTACAGACCCCCGAACGCCGGCAACGTATGGATAAGAGGCTGGTTTGGTGAAAGATTTGTGCGTTTAGGCCAGGGTTCGGCTTCGTGTGGACGGGGCCTAAATCTGAAAAAAAATGTGATTTATCCTCCCTGTGCAATACAGGGAGAGAGCACATCTTTTAACGGATAACAGGAAGCCTTGACAGGGTACTATATACTTTGTTTTATCCATTTAGGCAAATGTGTAAGCAGTTTTTAGAATACTAACCATGCATTATAACCTCTTTATTTCTGTCTGAGATTAACAATGCTTTACCATGCTTTATTGCTTTCTCACACTAGTTCATCTAATCATTTTATATATTTATATAAGAGGCCAAAGCAGGGAACTTAATTTTCTTGTATCAAGTTTCTAAAAAATACATTGGATTCAGCTGAAATCTGTTACAGCAAGTTAATGTTGTGCAGAAATTCTGAAACAAAAATAGGACATAAAAATCTTACCTATCCAAAACTAATAGTTTTGGTAAATTTACAACTCGTATTTGTTGGTATAGGGAATTTGAAAAGTTTTTTGCTACGTTTTAAATTCAATCGCAGTTTAGTTTTCTGCAAACAAATCATACATTTTTTTTAATGATTAAGATAAAATGTGTATTTTTAGCAAATGTCAGTAGGCATACATACTATCCTGCAGTAGCAGTTCACCCATCTTTCATTTTATACACAAATAAGGGGTTTTGTACTACTAAGAAAAAACTCATCTCGCTTAGTTCAACACTAAAAGGCAGCTGAAATTACAAACATTGGGGTTATTAATGGAGCTAAATTATGTGTCTCAGATGATAATAAACTTTTTCAGCTACATAAACTACAGTCACATGCAGTCATCTTCCTCTTGGGGCCACCTGGTGTGACTAAGTGATAGAATTGCAACGGCATTCCTCCTAAGTGACCATTAGTCTCTCAATGCATTGTGGTGATTGCAGTCAGTAATTGACTGATCGAGTGTCAAAGGAGTTGGCCGATTACGTAATAGAAGAATGGCTTTGAGTTATCAAAGGGGTTTTGTTCGGGTGAGCAAAAAACACAAGGAGAAAAACGATCTGAGGTTCAACTAAATTCAGCAAGGATTAAAAGCTCGGTTTACAATATGGGTTCTAATATTAGTCTAATAAAGCTTTTCAAAGCCTTCCATAAGACTTAAACTAAACCATACTCACCCTTCCGACAATTTTGCCGTTATTGTTCATGCAAATGTAATGTTCACTTTCTTTTCCTTTTATTCGAATGTGACTCCCGAAGGTTTCCGTCTCGACAACGAGAAGAGCTGTAGAAGAAAAAAACAACAGTTTTAATTGAATACATCACAACTGCTCTCTATCTATAGATTTCACCTCATAGTGAGAGGAAAACATTCATGGTGAGTTTAAGATGCACAATCGGCGATTCTTGTTTATGAAAACTCTCTAAGATCCGATTACCACTTAAGTGAATCTATTGTGATGATTCAGAACTTTACTATAAGTTTTATTTTTGATTTCTCAAATAGACTTGGTCATTAAAATAACCAGTTGAGCCAACTGGCATGACTAGACAAGACAGTAATTTGACTGAAGCCGTATCCCAATGGCTCCCTTACTTTCCGGGCCCCTGACACCCCACTCCTGCTCCCATCCTACATGTTCACCCCTGCAAGGTCACCTTTGTCTCCACTCGCCCTCAGACCAGTAAAGAAATCTGCCAAACATTTGTGGAGTAGTTATGCGCCCCTCAGGATTAGGTTTCAAGTTCCCTTTAGTCTGTGCTCACTCAATCAAAAAGTTAAGATGATCCATTTGTTTAACACACAGGGCCATTCAGTAGCGCTCAAGGGAGCAGGGGAAGAATAGTGGAAGGGAATGGGATGGGCTCGGGGGCAGAAGTACTCTCCCGCCCTAAAATCAAACCTTTAGAAAAAAAGTGGGAAGTAGGTGACCTTTCTGAAAAGTTTGGGAGGGGAAAACAATTCCGTCTTCAGTGGTAAGAAATTTCTGTTTGTAGTAGCTTGGTTTTATAATTACATGGATTAGTTTAGATCCCTTAAGGTGAAGTTAAGAAAAGTAAAACCCAATCTGAGCAGCTGACATATTTACTGACATATTTGTTCTCTCCTTTCTTGCAAATTGTTCTTTTTCCTTCACCTAATCCCCAAAATGTTTAATAACTTATTAGTACAGGGAAATTCAAACTCTCCCTAAACTTAACTATCATCAGTATAACTTAGTTGTACTTAATCACATTCTTATTCCTTAATCCATGCAGGTTTATGGTTGCCCACAAGTTTATTGAGCAGTTAATTGAAAAGAACAAATAAGTTGTATATTTAATAAAAAAAATTTGGAGTCCCACAAGGTTCTGTCTTAAGAACTAAATTTTTCCATTTAGCCATTGAATGATTCTTCCATAAGAGGGATGAAATAAAATATTTTTGGTAATGAGTTAAAGGGCAATCTAATTAATTTACTAGATACGAATTACGTAGAAAATGGTTAATTAGACTTAGTCAACTTTTATCGTCATTTCTTTTATACACAGGGTGTATACAAAACGAGATTTGGTTTTGCATACACTCTCATGACATTTCCATTTTTTAAAGTGCAGCAGTGATCACATCTAAACAGTGTGGGAGAAAAAAACATGGTGCAAAACAGCAAAACGCATTGATATGGAAGTTCAGAGCATAAAAAAAAATTAATAAAGCTCTAGAATAAAACGTGTATGTAAATATTCATTTATAAGCAAATGACACTTTTCAATTATTTTGACAATGATAAAAAAAACAATGATTTCTTATTCAGTTCAAATACTTTAAGGTAAAAATAATGCTGCAGGCTATTTAAGATTTTTCCTCAGTCTATGATTAATCGTGATGATTTTGAATGTTTTGCTGAGTAGTAATTTCTAGATGGAAGACTAATAAGTGCACATAATAGGAACAAATCCAATGAAACTGTAAAATGAAAATGAATTGAGCAATTGTTATGTGAATATATCCTTTCTTTCTAAGCAACTGTATCAGGGGGGTATTGGTCTGTTTTCCCAATGATGCAGTGAGGCTAGTATGCGAAAGAAAAGCTGAGCTTACTGGATGACTGTGAGCAGATTAAAATATCCATCTGAACTCCTCTTGAACTTTTTTTTCTTATAGTGCATTGCTAAAATAGAATCTAAAAGAAATGGAGTTACGTCCCTCTTGACCTTAAACAAGTGGACATCTGTCAAAAAATCAACTAAAAGCTTAAATACGTTTTTGTGTTTTAAATCCACATTGCAAGCATATTTGCAAAGAAATGGTGGAATTATCTCTACAATACATACAGACACCATCCATCCATCTTGTGTTTTAACTGTCCCCTTTTTCAATTTTAGAGACAGACATCATTTACAATGAAAGGTTCTGGAAGAAGTCGAATGTTAATCTTTTAAAAGTAACAAAACGCTATGCTTATACCTGGGATGGATGATAATGCTTAAAATTTGAATGTACAAATATGCAGACAACGGTCTACAACCAAGTTAGGTATGTCTTGTTTTTTGAGTGCGTGGGGGGGGTGAGATTGTGGGCCTTTTGCCGCAAGACTACAATCTTTCAAAGTGAACATTACTAGTGAGTGCAAAGGAGTTCACAGGTGCCAGGTACTGCAGCTGGATGGGGAGGAGGTGGTGCGGGACAGAGAGAGGGGGAGAGAATTGGCAAAGGCTCATGGGAAAAATTGCATCTGCTTCCACTCAAGCTCTAACAAGCAGTGAGGAAACTTCGCCTGCGCGCATCTGCGACTGAACAAACTGACTCAGAGGCATTCAAGACCAGCAATTTTGGAGCTGTGAGTCAGCTGTTGTGAGAAAAAAAATATCTGCAGGGAAGTACGGTGCAGGCTACATCAAAGAGCTCTTAACTGACCATCAATTTAGCCATATTTGATCTACAGTAATGAAAAAGCACACACAGGGCTAAGTGGTGAGATTTAAGGCAGATTATTCATTTGAGATCAAAATTCTCAAGGATGTGCACATTTTGAAGTACAGATTCACCAAAAAACCCTCTCTAGGTAACCTTTCTAGAAAAAAACATGTCAATCAGATACACTGATCAGTCTATTACAAGCTTCTGGTTTTACATTAAGCTTGTTTTCCTTCTTTTTTTGTAAGGACAACAGCGGTTACAAGACTAAATAAATGCTAAATAGATTTGAAATTTAAAAAAGGATTAGAAAATGCATGAAGATTTATGCATCAACGCATATTTTGTTAAACTCAAGGAAGAGCATCAGGTACATGTTGTTTATGGATTCGTGTATAGACAGGAAAGACGGGTGGTACTTATTTAATAAACAGAGAGAAAAAAAATATTTTTCAGCAACGAGCTGCAATTTTTCTGATCAGAGCCAATATCTGGCCAATTGAAATGTTTATCTTTAGTATTTAGCATCATAAAGATCACCATTAACATTAGTAGTTTTAAAAGGATTTTGCCTAACCTCTTTTGTTAATGTCTGACTTCCAAAATACAACCCCTCTTTCACTAGACACACAGAAAATCACCTACGAACAATGAAGCGCAAACATCCTAAAGAGCAGGGGTTAAGAGGGAGTCTCTAGACGCAGCAAAACATTTATCAAAGCTGGGTTTGCATTCTCAGACTAGCTATATTGTCAGGTGAGATGCACAGAAATTCTCCCATACCATACTTGCCCCCATCATCTCCATTGGCGTTGATCTTCTTCCCCAATATCTGGACGTGCTTTCCTGTGGTCCTGCTATAGAGCTGGTAGATCCGGACCTGCTTTCGGCTCAGATCATCCGGGTTCCTTGTGTGGTTCTCAATGTAAACCCTGAAATCTGCAGTGCTCTGCTGCGATTCCTGCACGACAAGAGACAGACAGCAACACTGTCAAGACACAGGTGTTGATAGTAATACGTGCTGTTGGTTTTATGGGTTCTATGTCAAAAGAGGAGTGCTTTAGGGTGTAAAAAAAGAACATGGAGATTTGTGCGCTGCACAGATTTACCGTTTCTCTCCTTTAAAGTGGCAATTTTTATGTGCAATGCATTTACAACAAGCTAAGTACTTTGTGAGAGTCACTAATGAAGTGGATGTTTGAGTAAAACTTCAACAGAACAAGGGCAAAGCCTTCAGAAAAGCCTTGTTTCTGAGTATCGGGGCGCAGTATAAAGTGAGCCTGGGGCGGTATTGAGAAACCTGTACTTCATTTCCACAAGTAAGCAAGCCACTAGCAATTATACACCTGAAGCATCCAGACCTGTTGCACTATCATCAAACAAATATCTGCCTGCAGGCTAAATAGGGTTCATAAATTAGAAAATGCAGCAGGCGTAGGACATGAGTGAGGAAGAAAGGAGAACCTTAAACCACAAAGACTTGCTTGTTGGACATTTTTTAAAAACAAATTGCACAAATCTTCCTTCTCTCTCTCTCTCCCTAACTTTATGTTTTTTGAGTTACCTAAGACCTGACATAAAGATGTGGAAAAATAGTTGGCAGCATTTCAGAAAACCAACTGTGACCCAACATGTGGAAGAGGGAGAGGGAAGGTATACTTTCAGAAGCCATGGAATCTCGGTTCAAACCATGATTCTATCTCCCCAGCTGTATATGGTGTGGTAATTGCAGAGTAATGGCTTTTTATGTGGCTGATCTCAGGTGGCTAATTATATACAGATTACATACCCAGAGTGCTTGTTGATTTAACTTCAGTGAATTGATGGCACGTAGCAAAAACATGATGGGAAACGTTAACTCCCGCAGAACAAATCCTTTAAATCGGAAGGGAATGAAAAACAACTTCTTCAAATCCGAACGCAAACTTGTTTAGGCTCCTGACGTCCCTCTTTCTCATTCAAATGTCACACGTTTCCGTGTCTCTGAAATCCCTTCTATAAGCTGGGAAATGCATGTTCTACTCTAATAAAACCCTCATAGATACAAGAAGTGATAAACATTAAGGTTTGAAATGCCAACTTTTTGTAAATGTGAATCTAAAGCTAACCATGGGCTTAATGGACAATTAAATCTGAAGTTTTGACTAAAATCATTCTTAAAACTTAAAATACAATTAATTTTGTTAAGAACATTGATGATAAGATATTCAAAATGTGGAGTGCAAAATATTGTTTTATGTTATTTTTGTACAAAGTGCATCTTCTGTGCCTCTTTACTTGCACCCACGCTAAAATTTCACAGAATATGACAACAAAGGGTTGCCAGATCAAGCAAGAAAAACCCAAATTTTGCTCAAGTGTTTACCTTAAACCCAACCTGAACCAAAGGTCCACATTCTAACTGTGTAACAAAAAAAAAAAAAAACATGTTTAGAGCTAATGTGATGCAATAACTGTAGATATGAACTGATGTGTTTCTTTTCTCTCCCAACAGAAATTTCTACTTTTGAGCTTCCCTGCCTTTTCCTCTTTTTACCATCAGTTAAGCTGCAGCAGCCACAACGGCAGGGAAAGGTGTCGCTGCCGCAACAGCAGAAGACTGTGCATTCCAATTTCCACTGAGACATGTTTGCAACTGCAAGCCCTTCATGCCAAACTCTCCACAAATATGTTCAAAGCTGTTCATCAGCATGATCTGTTGTCAAACATGAACCTCAAAGCTGTGGAGTGAAAAAAAAAACAATATCTATCTATATATATATATATATATATATATATATATATATATATATATATATATATATATATATATATATATATATATATATATATATATATATATATATATATATATATATATGTATAGTGCTACTACACAACAAAACTTAGCTTCACTGAGCTGCTGAGGGATTTATCCCAAATCTTCACCTCTCTAAACAAATAAAAAGGTGTGCTTTTGGTAGACATTTGGATTTCATCTCAATGGAGAGGCAAGCCTAAGCACAGTGCTGAGGTGAATGCTCACAACAATAGTTTTTATCACACCGTCTCCTTCCTGCTAAGACACCGCATGAAACACAGATATGGTTTCAACATCAAAAAGTCTGGCCGTCGTCTGACCTTCACGGAGGAAGCTTGGTTGTTGCATCCATCTAAGATACGCCACGCTACTGAACAAATAAACACAAAGGCAGGTAGTAACACACACTCTCATGCTAGCCATGCGCACCTCAATTCTTTTATTTTTCTTCATAAAACCATTAATCGAAGTTTAAGAGCAAGTCAGCTGCAGGAAAATATTTAGAGATGAACACTGGAAATAATCTATGTTCTTTTTTTTCCTTTTTCTAATATCTATAAATTGATTAAAGTGCATGTTATTATTTTGACTTTTTTGGTATATCTAAAGCAAAACATATATAGATATTTCTTTATTAGATTAAAGAAATTTGCCAAATTATGCATGAAATTTAGCATTTTAATCGTGTGTAAAAAATTGTGATATATATCTCCCCTTTTTTGATATTCAAACAAATACAAAGGAGAAAATGGATTTATATCAAGTTAAAATATAGCAGAATTTGGTCCCTTTTTTTTAATAAAAAAAATTATGTTTCTTTAGTCGAGACAAACAGAAAAGAAAAGGTTTGATTTCTATTCTAAACATTAAAAACATGAAAAAACTAATAGATGAAAAGCTTAATGAGGGAAGAAGGATGGAGCTGCTGAGGAATCAAAGCCAACAGAGTCAATTAGCTGAGTGGATGCCTGCAAATCGTTATGCTTCAAACAAAAAAAGGACTCATCGGTTCAAACCGCATATTTCCAACCCCAGGCTCCTACATGTTTACAACCCAGCTGTTGCTGTGAATTAGTGAAAAATGCTACTTGAATTCCCAACTGCAAACAACAAATGTTTAATATTTAACGAGCTTACAATTATTTTCAAGCGACCTTTTTGTTGTTTAATACAAACATCTAATCAATTACGTTTTTAGTCATTTCTAACCACATCTGGGTTGATTTTAATTTGTTGCGTCTTATAATATAGTAAACGCCCTGAAAGCAACACATGGCCATTCCTTCATCATGACTCACATAAAAAGCTGCACATGAACATCAAAAAAAAAAAGTATATGAGAGGGGTGTAACGTACCTGCAGCTGGAAGTAGAGAACCAGAAAGTGTAAACACCTAGGAGGAGAGAGGGGGGAGTGAATCACACGGGCAATTACATGGAAAATAAACGCAGGCTACCTCAATGACAGCAATGCACAAACAGCATATGAAGTTTTTGGCGACTTCTATTGGTAAGAATGCACGAGATTATGCGCAAAAACATGCAAGGAGAATTTTGAGCGCTTACAGGTAGAGGAACCTTGAAGGGAGCACGGACATCTTGGCTCTCAGAAAGACGGCTGAAATGCACCTGCTTCCTCACACTCAGAGCCCCGGGAAAGCTTGGAGGGATCGTCCCCTTCTCTGTGTCTCTCTCAGGCTTTGCGCGTCTTTTTACGCACACAACTCTTTTTACGCACACAACTCCGGCGGTAAGCAGGAGACCGAATCCCAGTGTAAGGATACATGCAGCAGGAAAGGCACGGACTGCAACATTGGGTGCTTCCTTGTTGAGGGGGGAAACTACCCCAAAAAGTTTTAACTTCTCAGATCAGGTCCTCAGAGTTACAAAAGTTCACCTTAAAGTGGAGCCAAGCTGCGACGTCTCACAAAAATCCCCCTTACTTGAAAAAAAAAAAAAAAAAAAGGAAAAATATCCCTTGAGCTTCTGCTTCCTCCAGAGATCACAGGCTCTTCATCTTGGTCCGGACCTGAAGGGGATTTCTACACCTTGCAAGGCGCATTTTATTCTAACAATGACGGAATGTAAAAAAAATAATAATAAAATGAAGCGTTCCTGGGAGGACAACTGGAGCAGACAAACTTATCCAGGTCGAATCAGATTTTCTCTTTAAAAAAAAAAAGTGGCAGTGACAGTAGAAGTCGCAGATCCCTGGAGAGGTTGATGATAGCGCAGCGCTGCCTGCACGCCTGTCAGTGGTGTTTGCGCTTCTGCGGCTGCAGATTTGGGCACAGAGAGGCTTTTTTGTTGTTGGTGGGTGGAAACATGTCAGCGGTTTGCACCTGATAGGGTAATCGCGGAGAGACCATCAGCTTCAGATGTTTTTTGTTTTTTTTTTTACCCTGATGGGCAAAGCGCAAGTAGATGATTTTACTTTTTAAAATCATTCCTTCCCTTTAAGTCTACTTAAAAAAAGGAATAAATTAGATCTCAATAAGGACATCTACAGCTTTAGGAGTTTTAAACTACTTAATTATGTAGATTCTGTTTAATATAATCATTGTTTATTATTATAATTCGTTTTATTTCTCACATTGGGGTGGTTTTGATGAGCTCCATTGTTGGGGTAAGCAACAGAAACTTGTCCTTTACATCTCTTCTCTGTGCGCTTTTTAAATCAATGTGAGTTTGTGGATTGGCCCATGCTCTCCCAGACAGCATTCAAATGTATTTCTTTTTTTTCTGTCCTTCAATTATGTGCCATAACTTATCCGACATTTAAATAAAAGAGAGGTGCGAATGCGTTTACGAGTGTTGGAGAGCTGGCAGCGTTGGAGTGAGGCTGCCATTTAAAGAAAAGAGAGAGAAAAACAACAACTTTTGTGGTTCGGTTTTATTGACCCATTAAAACTGGATCCTCGGGATTCCTTCTGCATTGACATTTAAAATAATTCTGAATGATTACATATACGACTTCCCATGCGTGCTGGGGATTTCAAAGGATCTCCAGCTGCTGGTCTGGTGGGAAATGAAGCGAAGCGCTCCAGCTGCTGATCAGCATGGGGCAGGACAACACAACTCCAGAAGAATATGTTGTTCCTTTTGATGAAAAGTGGGGAAAAAAATGCATCATAACAATATAAAAAATTTTTAATATCAGACAAAAATAGTCTCTTTAACACAACCGCTGTGTTTAATTTGTGTCTATCTTCAAGAGGTAAATAAAACCAAGCTGAAGTAGTTGTTTCTAATTGATTGATGCTTGTGTGAATATGCTGGTTTTGGTATTTGATCATATCCACTTTACATTATCTACAGCTCACCCCTCACAAAGCTTTCTCTGCATATGAAAAGTAAAAACACCTGAGGAGGGATTTACAGGGAAGATGATTAAGAGTCATTAGCTGAGGGGTCTGTGTTGGAATCCGCCTTGTAGCTTCACTAAGCATGTCTGCAACACATGTTTGTGACAAATTTGTCCAAGCATGACTGGAGGAGAATAGACAGATAGGGAAAATGGATACAGATGGAAGGAGGAAAACATGTTTGTTCTTTTAATAAAACCTTTAGAGCACTCTACAATGAAAAATATAAAACAACTGCTTTTGGCATTTATTTAACCATATTTAGTTACTTTAAGACAGTTGTTTCATGTCCAACCCCGCCAACATGACACAATTGTGTTAAAGTAACTAATATGATTAAGTAAATGCCAAAAGTAGTTGCATTATTTTTTTTCAAAAAAAAATGATACAAACCCAGACTTTACCTTTAAAACGTATAAGTTATTTTTGCAATATATATTTGATCTTCTTATTTTAACATTTTACATGATGTGGTTTAATTGCATTCCTCATCCCAGTGTAAGTGCTTGAAGGCTGTTAATACAAAAGACATCTTTGGGTGTAGTTTTTTACAGGATCCGGGTCTTTATCTTGATATTTGATTTAGGCATTTAAAACAAGTATGCACTCCCTTAAAATGACGTCCAAAGATTGGACCTATATCTTACATTCCAATCACTCCTGACACATGTCTGTGTATCCTTGAACAAGGCAACTAACCCATAAATTGATGCACCTTTGTGAGTGATGTTCTGTAGCATAGAAGATAAAGCTCTAAGAGAGGGCTCTTGGTAACTTAGAGCAGAAGTGCCAACCTAATTTCTCTATTGAGTCATTTCAGGGTTTTCAATTCTTTAAAAAGGACTGTTTGCAGCCATATACATTTTTTTTTATTCTATCATTTCCTGAATGATATACTCACCTTATTATAATTTAACTATTATTTATTTAGCATTTATTACACTTAAAAACATGTGCTCACATAAAGCGACATGCCTTATATGGCTCTTGAGGGCCGAATAAATCCTCTTGGTAGTGGGACAGATTTGGCTCATGGCATTTGGTTTGACACATATGATCAGGAAACATTGCACAAACAGAAATGTTTAAATTCAAGCCAAGTATGGGGAAAGCATACAGTTCTAATAATATAGCTAACTTTAGCTAAAATCTGATTTGATTAACCCAGATTCTACAAATGCATCTTTTTTTTTTCAGCAGCATGAAACCCCCATAACTCTGACACTCTATAATGATTTTCTTTTTTTCATACCTCATCACCCATCCACAGTTAGCAAGGTAAATATGGCAGGTTTATCCATATTAGACTTTTCTAAAAATTAACATAAGATCAATGTATATATTTAAGATTAAAAAGATAATTCAGTTATATTTATTTTAAAGTGACTGATGGTTCCAGTATGCTGGTTCCCTTTGCAAATGAGATCTAGATCTCTATAGGGTTTTACTCTGCTTATATAAAAGAAAATTAAATGAACAAACTAAACATGAATATTGGCTTTTTTTCCCTCGCCGATGAATGTAGTTAAATAAAACATAATTTTTTTCTTTTATCAGTTAAAGATAAAATGATTGCCATGAAAGAATAATGTATTTCATGTTGTTTTACACATCTTTACCAATGATGCCAATTATTGTGTTCTGCACAGTATCGTCCCCCGGCAACAATTGGAGAAGCAGGATTTTTTTTCTTTTTATTTTTAAACTGTCTTTTTCTTTTCTCAGACTTGAGAGTTTGGGGAATAGTTTCTGGACACAAGCCAAGTGTCTGATGGTTCTGGCATGCACTCCTCTGCTGTAATAGTTATTTTGGCAGCTGACCAATCAGGAGCCAGAGCAAGGGGTTTATTCTGAAAACATGAACAAAGATTTAGAGAAAAAAAAGAAAAGAAAACAGTTTTCTGACTTTGCTGGACAGCTTGAATAATATGACTCCTGATCAAACCTTTATTTGTTTGCTGTCTTCCTGTTAGACCTTCTGAAAAAAGTGACTTGGCAAAGCCTGCAACTGTGGCCAAAAGAGGCTGAAGTTACCATACAGGAGTGATTCAAAATACAGGAGGATATAAAAAAAATGAATGTAAGAAAAAAGTAAACTTATTCCAATTATTGGGTATAAAAAAGATGCTTGTTTAAATTCAATGAAAAAAGGGATATTTTCTTTAACCATGTATTTCTGGTAAGTATGGTTTAAAGTAGATAAAAAAACAAAATTCAGAAAATGTTACATAATATAAAAAAGGAAGAAAAAAAACACTTTTTGTTAACAAATAAAAACTTACTGAACAGCTTCTCCATGAGCTGTAGACCCTATTCCCTTGGTATTTGGTCCAGGTACCCTACAGTATGAGAATAATGCAGAATCAATGCGGCCTGGCGCAGAGGCAATCAGCCTGCGATTGTCATCATCTGCATCATTGGCCTCTCTTTTTTTCTTCCTGAAAACACTCCACAGATTCTCTGCCTAAAACATTTTGGACTCTCAGTTTCTTAGCTCATCCTCCAGGCTCAGGGAAACCATGTTGGATCAGCACCTTTATCAAAATTTTTTTTCCTTGCACGTATTTTTCCATCAACATACTTAAGTACAATTTTGTGACAACCAGACTCTTTGATAATGACCATTTGTTACCTTTTTCTTCATGTGGAGGGTGCAATTCCATTACAAATGTGCACACAGTTATGCCAATATTCTGCTAAATAAAAAAATAAAAAAATTTATATTAAATAGCAAATGCGATTAAAATAGCACATGAATACGCATGTTAACACGTTAACTTTGAAAAAACGATATGACAGTGGCGAATGCAAACACATGAAATATATCTATGTTTCATCCTCCAACTTCTTCTATTCTTCTTCATCATCTTTTTAAAAGGCAGTAGGGTCCAGTTACTGATCACGTGACTCGTTTGGTGCAAAATAAAATGTTTCCATTGCAGTTTTGTTACATGTAAGGATTTTAATACGACCGAAAAACCATCACAACAAAGTGTAAAACCTATTTATTAAAAAAAAAGCTTTTACATTTAGCAAATTTATTTTTATAATTGCTATTTGTGCATTTTAACAGTTAATGGAAACACACCTTCTGACTGTCTGCTAAATAAGTCAGTTTTACTTAAAGTAACTGATAAAGCATAACATGGGCCCAAAATTTCCATTAGCTTCTTTATAAATATTCAAATTTTAAAAGAATTCGAAATGTAGATTTAGGCAGCATAGCAATCAAAATTACCAGAAAGTAGAGGTTTGAACCCTAACACTCTGTCTTTAAAAGGAAATGTATAAGTTTTCCTTTAAAAGTTAATTTACAGAACCAAGATTACTTTTTGGTAAAACTCTGAAACTCTAATCGAGTGAAATTGCCCTCTGTGCCCTTTCTGCTTTTTATTTCAAGGCTTTATGCCGCCTCACAAAAACAATCAGTTGTCTTTCTTCCATTAAAGAATTAATATATGAACTTTACTTGGACTAATAAAACACAACCTTCGTGTGAATAAAGCTCAAACAAGCCAGAGGCCTGGTTCAAGAAAAGAGTTTTATTTAGACGCAATGACCCTTCAAAATGAAAAAGACTGGTTGTATTTGTTTTCACGTTGGCGGTTTGGAGACAAACCAGCTTGTTTAATCTAATTGAAATAGAGGGAAAAGGGGAGATGAAGAAACCCGATAAATCAGGGAAGAATCTATCAAGTACTGGAAGGTGAAGATGAACAAGAAAGGGCATTGTGAATGAGGAGCCATTTCAGTCCAGTTCTTGAGGTTTACAGAGGGGGGGGGCGGGATAAGGTTACCCACACAGATTAGCCGACAAGAGAGAATGAGTGAGAAAAACTATCAAACTAGTTTAAAGGTAAGTTTACTTGGGTCACTTTGCTTGCCCGCCATTGAAAGTGCTTTTAAATCACCTGAAAATGA